AGATCCGCCTGCCTCTGCCTCCCGAGTGCTGGGATTAAAGGCGTGCGCCACCACCACCCGGCTTTGGATGCATTTTTTAATAGTGCTTTAAAACCGGCTTTTGCCTAAATATTCAGAATGTTTTCTATGTTAAAAAAAAAAAAAAAGATACCATTTAAAACACAAAGTTTCACAGGCTGTTGAATTAGAAATGAACCATATTCTACAATTTTAAGAGAAATTAAAAAATCAGAGTTTCTTAGCAAACATTCTAAGCATTAACTCTAGCTTTACTAGTTTGCTGCCCTCTTTATTTTCTGCTAAAGTGGTCACTGACCCTTCAACACAAAATGGGATATGACGTAACTCCAGTCAGTTTATTCACAGACACATGACCTGTTTGTTTCATGTGCCAGGCTTACTGTTTCAGATGCTGCGGGGAGAAAGTAAAATAGGCTGATGTGGTCTCACTTCTTACAGGGCTAATGAGAAGGGAAGAGCAAAACAATACCCAGACAAAGTAACTGCTGATTAAGATGGACACTATGAAAAATCAGGACAGGACAGAAGGTACCTGGCAAGTATCTTTAAAGGGAACTGGGGAGATTTCTCTGGGTGGTGACATGTAAACAAGATTCAAATGAGAAGACAGGAAACTCGTCGGCATAAGAGACAGCAATGGCCAGTGTAGTTGGTCCTTGGAACAGGTAAGGTCAGAAGAGGTAAGATCATCCGTAGCCACAGGGGCTGAGAGGAGCTCACTGTGTGTCAAGTGCAATGGGAGCCATTATGTTTTAAGTTGAGGGAAATAGAACCTGACTTGTATTTTCTGATGCTGGAGACTGAACACTGGCTCTTACCTATGGTAAGCACATGTTCTAACACTGAGCTACAACTCCTAGCCCCTCCTCACAATCTCAGACCGAAGTGTGTGCCGCACACAAAATAATCGAAACAATCAATCTGGCATGAGGGACTATTACAGTGCTCAGAACAGAGACAGAAATTAAGAAGCTACTTACTGCACACGACTAAGTCAGGTGAGAAGACACCTACCAAGGACTTTTGGAGCTAAAGGAGAACTAGAATCGGATGTAATGAGATGACACAGATACCTCCTACAGTCTGGCTTGAGCTCTGTGGGTTATCAATAGTACAATTTAAGCCAGGGACAGTGAGTGGCACACACCTGTGACCCCAGCACTCAGGTAAGCAGGAAGACTGCCTTGAACCAAAGGCCAGCCTGGGCTACCTAGAGAATACCAGGCCAACCAGAGGCACATAGAAAACCCTATCTCAGCTCCTCCTCAAAGAAAAGGTTCCATTTATTGAGTCAATGAAGACTATGGAAGGAATGAATGGGAAAATCAAGAGCTCAGTCTTCAATGTTAAGCAACACTAATAAATTTCATATGCCTGAAATTAAGTGTATGACAAGGAAGTTCTTGAATCCTGTTCATTTCTGCACTGCTTTGATTTCTATTGCTAGAGAAAATGATATGCAATTCTTCACATTCCTAGGCAATTGTTCCCTGAACTGGCAGGGCTCTCTTATGGCTAACACAGCCCTGTGAAGAACACAGAAGGCTATGAAAACAGCCTTTTAACAGAACTTCATTCCACTTGCCTTCTTGAAGAAAAGGTAAGCTCAGGGGCTGGAAACGGCTCAGTGGTTAAGAGCACTAGAGTTTGATTCCCAGTACCCACACGGTAGCTCACAACTATCTGTAATTCCAGTTCCAGAGAATCCAGAGGCACCCAGCACACATGTGGGACAGAGACATGCATGGAGACAACATAGCCATACACATAAAAAGAAAAAAAAAGCTCCTATAGTGCTTCTAAAATGATGAGGTGCTACACAATAACTTTCAATGCCTAGAACAGAAAGGTTCTAGCCCTGTTTTAACAAGGGTGAGCTTTCTCCAATGTGGAGTGTCAGCCAAACAACTGCATCAGTACATTTATTCCATTCTCCAGGGTCTACCCTTGTCCTACTACGACAGTGGGACTGGGGATGGAGGCATACGTAAGGTAAACAGAACTCTCCTGGGGGAATTAGGTATAGTTTTCTCCAGAGTAGGTTGACTTGATGGCTTCTCAAGATCTTTCCTCCCAAATTGTTATCACTTGTATTTTTAACTGGTAATTAAGAACCAAGATTTAAAATAGAATGGGATGACGTATCGAAGGCCACAGATAAGTTACATTATCTGTGCAATACATACAGCATAAGAAAAGGATCCACTAGCCCCATCCCAGCTGACCTCTGCCTTACTACAGCAAAATTTTTTAACTGGTTCTCCTGCTTTTCAGGAGTTATTACGGTGTGGGGAAGGTCTGGGAATTTGCTGCCACAGAAAATAACTTGTTGCTATTTAGCTCTGAAGCATAAACTACTTCATAAATACTTGCAGGAGTTGGTTCTCTCTTTCCACCACATGGCTCCCCAGCTGATGCAAGCCACCAGGCTTGGTAGCAAGCATCTTTAACTGAGGGTGTCAGCCCTACCATTTTATTTCTATCGCCCAGGTTCCCCAGAATTTATAAAACTTATTTGAAGGGACTTCCTCCTACCTCTTCTTTCTCGGTGCTAAGATTATAGAGGTATGTCACTATGGCTGATACATATATGTCTTTAAGGATGCATCAGGAAAAAAATGCAGAACCCCTGCTCATTGATAAGCTCTGGTGCCATGGGTCCACGTTCCTAACCTTCTCTCAGAAGCACTAGAGAGGCAATTACAAAAAACGGGAGCGGTGAGAGGAAAGCACTGCAAGTTCCAGGCAGAACTAACTTGGTCATATGAGTCTCATCTCTAAAACCCTTCTGCAATAATGTTCAACTTCCTGTGTTCCTCAGCCATTGGAGAACACAACAGCTGACGGCGTCATCTCTGAAAGGAAGTTAAGCAGCTCTCTGAAGTGTCTCTAAAATCAACCTTTCTCCACCCTGGATTGTAAGGTACTGTTGTTCTCTGTGTTGCTCCATTATGTACTAATGCATGATTGAAAAAGTGCTGAGTTCTAGATAGCTGGCCTAGGAGGCCCCTGAGAAGCAAGTTACTCTGGCAGCACATTTCAGTGGTATGATGGGACCTGAACATCACTGAAGGACTACTTTTATGTATCCTGTCTTTTCTAGCCACAGCACAAACGACAATGTCTTCTGCTAATCTGCTAGAGATAAAATGTTGAAAAATGTTAAAACTGTTCTCTGCTGATGTATACAGTTTTGTGGAAATTCTGTGTGGGGCAGAAGAAAAGCATCTTTTACTGCTTCCTGGTTATTTGGAAACTGACCATCCCAGAGGTAAGCTAAAAAAGAAAAACCATGCCTCCTTTACAGGAAAGTCCTGAGTGCAACCCAACCCCTGCAATGACTAGATTGGCTCACATCTATCTTCCCTAGCTGGGTTTTAGTAAATGTCACTAAAGCTGGGTGGGAAACTGTGCCTTAAGCTACTCTGAAAACCCAAATGATTAAAGATGTAAGAGTAGGCCTTTTTATTTGGAAAAAGAACTCAGGATGAGACTGAAGAGCTGCATCTGCCTGTGTGCTCAGTTACTTATTACACATAATGAAATATGAGACCACAGAAATGGAAGTGTGTTTCAAACGCTCCTCCACTGGCCCCAAGTGTTCTGCCCTTTCTTAAGGACACCCTGAAAATGTATCCCACATGTTGCTATATGCTTGGCCACTACCTTAGCTACTTTGTGTAGTTTAGGAAATGATTTTTTTCCCCTTTAGTTTTAGAAGAAATCTCTTCATCAACATCCAGCCACTCTCTTTTAAACAGCCAAGAATTTTTAAGAACTGAAAAAGAACATGTAATCATATGTAATTTCCAAATAAAAGAATTTTTGTTACTTGTAATCTCAAGTTTTAAGCATGTTTTGCTACCTCTACCTAAGATAAAAAGGCAAAAAATAAAGGACAAAATGTCTAATGAAAATGGGCAGAAATAAAAATTATAAGCAAATTATAATCATGCAGATAAGCATGACTTTCTAGAAAACTATAGAGCTTTCTGATTATTCATTGAGGAAAAGCATCTCCAAAACACCGCCAAAAACTAAAGCAGTTTTACATCACTGATACTTACACACTTTTTTTTTTTTTTTTGAAACACTATATAGCTCTGGTCATTCACTATCCACTACGTAGAGCATGCTAGCCTGGAACTCAAGAAGCCTGCCTCTCTGGCTTCTGGGTATTGGGATTAAAAGAAAGATGTGCTCTCCCAAGCCTGGCCCTTTAAAAGTTTACACTTAACATCTGTTTATATTTTCCATTACATTCAGTCATTTCATACATAATACAGTAAAATATTTGAAAATTACTTAGGGATATTTATTTAAATTTTAGAAAACCACGAATGCAACTTTTCTAAAATCACCAAGGATGTCCAAAACACCTCAACTGAACTAAATCAAGTAGAGAATTGAAAGTCTTAAGTACCACAGTAGAAACTGTAACAATCTTGCAAAGGTGAATTCCACTTTAAAATTCCATCTGAAGTCGGACACGGAGGCGCACGCCTTTAATCCCAGCACTCAGAAGGCAGAGGCAGGTGGATTTCTGAGTTCGAGGCCAGCCTGGCCTACAAAGTGAGTTCCAGGACAGTCAGGGCTTACACAGAGAAACCCTGTCTCGGAAAAGTAAAATAAAATAAAGTACAAATTCCATTTGAAAGACCACCTGTTGATAAATCTTGCATCTATTAAAATGAAAACTCACCTGCTTACAATAGATTACAAAGAAATGGACAAACTAGAGTTATAAGCAAAATGGAACTCTGTGAGACTCTCAGATCACAGGGTTAAAAACTAAAAAGCAAGGAGCCAAAACAAAACCACGAGCGCACCACGCCTAATTACTACACTCAAAACCACCTCGATGCTTAAGTAAATGCTAAGCCTGAAAGCTAAAATTTAATTTGTTCTAGTGAGGGTACTAGTCTGACATCGTACCCTTAAGTGTCTTGGCTAACGAAACTTAGCTTAAGATCAGTGTGGTTCACTTCACATAATCGTGGGGGCATTTTCTCCTCACTCCTCCTTTGCTAAGGTGCATTTCAAGTGGATTTATTGCAAGAGTCAAATCAATAGGCACCTTGAAGCACTGGGCCATTTCCCTCCCCACAAGTTCTCTAGGGTTAAGTTCCTTTACCGCCCGGTCTTTCACTTTCCTTTTCACAGAAATCCTGTGATGACCCTGAAGTGCCAGTACACTGGCCTCTGCAATCAGGGGCCAGGCGCGTGAATGACCCCTAGGAGTTTGAAACGCAGCCCAGCCGAGTGGAAGGCTGAATCAGACGCGGTTCCCCGCGCCGGGTTTGTCCTCCACGCTGGAGCCACGGGCTGGGTGCAGGGCACGCCGCCAGGACCCTCTCCCCGCGCTCCCCGGGGCAGGGATGTACCTGGCCAGCCCGGGGCTGTTACCTAACCAGCCCGATCGTCGGGCGGTCCCATCCAGTCCACCCTGCCGGGGCGCCCAGGCCGCCGGCAGCCGCAGCGTGCGCCCATCCCGCCG